GCTCAATATATTCATGGACAAATCTTTATTTTATTTTATTAAAAGTACTTCACTAAGAAATATGACTTTTTGTATGTGAAAGACTTGTAATATTAACTGAGAGTTATAAGTATTAAATTTATGTCAACTTTAAACGAGTATAGAAGGTCACGTGACTCAGTCCCATGGACTGAGCCCATGTCAAAAGAGTTAACAACTCTGGTTGCCCTTCAGGTATCAACTGCTTTCATGCAGAGTTTGTAGAAAATGTTAAGTATTGGACACCATTCCCGCACAAAGGCTTGGTAATTTGTACAACTGATGTGCAGAGTTAGCACATCTTTTGCAGGAAGCAAATTATCAATGGTTGTCTTGCATTTCCTGAACATCAATGATCTGAAATTATTTATTCACATTAAAGTAGATGCAATATCAAATGATTCAGCTGCAAAAACAATGCCATCACCGAGTGATCTATGAATTGGTTGGTTTCAAGTTGTCTTCAAGTTATGCCCTGAACTACTCAAATAACATATTTAAGAATGGGTTTTTTTTCTTATGTGACTCAAAAGTTACATCTTCTGTCACCAAGCCAGGAGTTTGTTTGTTCAATGTACAGATAAGACAATGTTTACATATTACACAATGTATAAGATGTTGGAATATGTAAGTAAAGTACTGTCTGTCTTATGTTGAAATAAACATGGACTCATATACTTGAGTGGTGGTGTTTACATATTCACATGTGACACACCTGAGTCTCTCATAACGTTGAGTTCCATGTAGCTTCTGAGAGTAGACATCAGATTTTAATGTACTGTGTACTAAAAGATTGGGAATATTTTTATATCGATGTCATGTCTGTAAAATATTAGGGGTTGATCACTAAAAATCATGATTTTTATAAGTTCTGCAAGTAGTTATCCATAAGTATATATTTTTAATTTTCGTGTTCAAAAGAAAATATTCAAAACTAGAGACATACATTTGTTGGTTTTTGTCTAAATGTTGAGAAATGGTGTAGACACTGTAATACATATGCTGTCCAAAAGATAATCCAGCCACATCAGTGAAAACTCCAGCAGAATTGTAGATTCTTATGTTCTACACCAGAGTGAGTTGTCTTGAATATAGCTAGTCATCTCCCTAAAAATGTCAAGAGTGATCATTAAGTGGACAGAAACTTATCCACTAGTTCAAGCATCAGCACAGCTTATTTCTGATGTGTTGGCTGAACAGTGCATAACTTGATCTGGAGCAGCTAAAGAGAACCACACAAATCATGGGTCAATATTAATGATTGGTTGTTTGCAAAATTGTGTTAAATGTTGGATGTGATTTAAATATTGACATCACTGTGTCATCCCCAGTCTGATGATTTGTCTGAATGGATCGTGTAGACTTACAGGTGCATAGTTGCTAAAGCATATGAAACTTTATTGAACCAAATGGAATGAGTGCTTAACACATGTCATAGTGGTATACCATGCAAATGAGCAGTAACTGAAAGATTGTTTTCTCAAACTTCTAATGTTAGAATAAGAAATACTGCTCCAACAGAATCTGATATATAACCCTCTGCCCAGTTCAGATGTACCACAGTGTCCATACAAATATGTGGAATGGCTGCATTCTTCAACAGCTGGTGTACATGAAGTTACACATTATCAAATGAGTAAAGCATCCATAACAAAAGAGTTATGGAATGAAAGTTTAAGATTGGTGACTAAGTCAACAGCTCATAGAAATGTATTGTGAATTACAATGGTCACATGATATCTTTAAGTGCATCAAAGATGTTGAAAAGCTTAAACTATACAACAAAAATTTCTTGGTTACTCCTGCAATAAGGGCTGGATTAACAGATTGATTCTGATGACAGAACTATGTTATACAATCTTGATTAAGCTAATGAAGAGGAATATGTTGGCAGTTTAATTAAGTCCATGGGGAGTTTGTTGACGAAATTTTAGCAAGAGAACCATTTATCTTTTTTGACAGATGTTGACAGACTTTTGCCTGTAGAAACTTACTATGCAACTATTCAATTTTGTATTTATGATAAAATGGCAATAAATTATCTTGCCATACAACATTTTGTCTGTTATGTTTATACCAGTCTCACTAAAATGTAGTAAAGTACTTGTGCCTAGCACAAGAAAATGCCAAGGCCTGTGCAAACAAAGAAAAAATGTACTATGTACTTTATTTTGCTAGGTTTTAGTCCAAAGTACTGGTTGAAACTAGAAAGATCAATGATCGGACAACACTCTCCCGTCTTCTTGGCCACAATAAATAAATGGGAATAAAATCTTGGAAGAATGAGATTGACTTTCTCTATGCCACCTTGACAAGTAACTTCCTAGTAGCCCAAGAACGAAGATCCACACTCTGCTGATATGTTGGAGGTGGAAATATCACAGGTTGAGAGGATAATGGAGGTGGAGATATGAACTGAATGACCAACCCCAATGCCAGAATCTTGAGTACCATGCATCTCTGGTGAAGGAATTCCAATGTTCCAGAAAATGTTGTAACTGAGCTTCCACAGATCCCACCGGCTTAGGGTAGTCACCAATGCTGCTGGCAATGATCTGCCCGAGTGAAGAAGCCTCTTGAATAAGGACAGAATCTATTTTGGGTACTAAAAGGTCGAGGAGTTGAAGCTGGGGGTTGGGACACAGGATGAGGCATCTCCACCCAATAAGTCCCAAAAACATACAAGCCATTGAACCAAAGAAAGAGCAAAAGCTGACAATCTTACCAAGTTATAAGTCAGCAAGGGACCAAATTCATTATCAAATTGATGTGGGGATCACTGAGAGGCTTCCGACAACATTTGGAGGGAAGATAACTGTGGTGAGGGTCAGACATACCCTAGAAAATTGTAATCTGTTCATTGTGATCATAGGTTCAATTCTGGAACCCCACATTTCCAAAAGTGGATCAAGTCTTTAGGAATCTAAATATATGTCCTCCTGGCGGTGGTAAGCCAAAGTATGCTGTTCTAACAAATGTGGGGGACAAGGCATAGCTATCCCTTCACGTAATTGAGCAGTAAAACTCCCTGCATGAACAGCAATATCAGGTGAAGGAGGAAACACTAAGTATTTGTCCTCAGACCTTTCTGCTATCAAGGAAGTAAGACCCACATGGCAGCGGGGACACATCATCTATCATTCTTAACATCCATTCGCAAAGCCTCTCATATAAAGAAAAAGATAATAAGAGAGAAAAAAAAGAGTAAGATGTGGGTGTTCAGGCCACAACATCCCACTTCTACATCATCGTTCACTGCATGCAGACAGCTGTGGAAAAGTGACTGCTCTCAGAAGAAAAGAAATAAAAAATAAAGAAAAAGGAAAAAAGAAAGAAAAAGTCCTACAATTGAGGATGGTGAGTAAGAAAAACTTAACCTCTGTAAGTTGGCATTGTAGTAGTAAAAGCTCAGAATAATAAGGTAATATTAGTAGCACAGCAGACAAATTATACTAGAATAAAATCCCTACCAAGTTACCTAAACTAGT